AGATGAGATGCCCAAGTTCCTCCAAGGCTTTTCCATATGAGAGTGACCCAGTACGCTGCAATATGATCGCTTCGAGGCTCAGGAGAGCGATATAGACATTTCTATCTAATTTCTCCAAACCTTGCACATTTCGGACGAGATTTCGAGTATCGTCGACGACTAGGACGGCATTCTGAATATCGTTAAAGACTATTTCGGAAAGCAAGAGACCAAGGTGGCGTATTTTAGACGCCGTAAGATCCAAAAATTTGTCCATTTGGGGGTTTCTGGTCATTGCCTCGGTGCTGGAAGGTAACAGGTTTATGTGTTGCGGAGGAAAAATGCCGATGCGTCTCACATAATCGAGTCCAGCGTCGTATGGCAACATGGATGAGTATAATGAATCATGATACCGAGGGTTCTGATGAGCCATAATCAAAGGTCTAGAATATGCAAGAAATTATAATATAGGGAAACAAAGGTAAAGAGAGAAGAATCACTAAGATGTAGGCAATCTATTCTTCTTATAATTGACCAGAAAGGGAGCTTACCGGTCACTAGCTACCACCGCCGCACGCCTACTCCTCCTCGTCTGTGAGCTTGAATCTGTGCCTGAAAACAATACACCATCAGTGCGGCACGTTCCCTAGCCTGATAGCAGCGAACCCCGCCGAAAGCTCACCATAACGTTCTTCAGAAATAGACAGATCTCGAATGAACACATAGAGCTCCTAACACTTTTCCTCGTCAGACAAATACCAAGTTTTCACCGAGACATCATGGCGTCTAGCTGTTTCGTGAATAGCCCTCTTCAAATGCATCTATGTCGAATTAGTATCAGGGACGAGACTATATCACTGTTACTGACCAGAGCTTCGCGCAATACGACTTTGTCCGCCTTGGGCCACTCCCACCTGTTCCAATCGCGAATGACCCCTACTACCTCTTGGCTCAGACACACGGAGTCTGCACGTATTGTAGCATTTCCTAGGGGGATCCGTTGAATTTCCCAGAGGCGATTATTTTTGCCCATATGCCGGCTCCACAGATGTTGCGCATCACGGAAACCTTGGTTGAACCTTCCTACGATTAGTTATGCGACCGAATACAATTGGAACGGAGACAAACCCCATGGCGTGGTCACGCAAATCGTCTCCGAAATCGTCCGTATAAGCCATCTGCCACAGTCATTGAATGGGTGGTCTAGCTTGCCTGCAGAAAAGCTGGTAAAGAGAAGAAGTAGGCCGCCTTTACCTGACTTTAAGTCCGGGCAAGACCTGTAGTTATCTGGGCCCTAGTATATCCGGATACCTTCCCGCGCGGCCGCGCCCAGTCACATCAGAGCCATAATAATACGAAGAGCAATGAACAGCTGTAACTCTCAGCCTCTAACCCCTTCTCTATTTATTTTTCATAAGTGGAACTAGAATCATAACTACAACTATTCTTCATCACAATTCAAAGCGAACTAAATTCTCGAATTCCTTCCAAAATTGAATGATTATAAACTCATGTAGGTCCTCTGTCTACTTAGGACTAATGACTAGCACGTTCCGTATCCTTATTTTCTATACAACTTATCACACACAATAGCTTTTGCAGAATCATGGCTAGTCTGGCCATCAAATCTTGTATACCAATAGTCATCCCAGTCAATGCATGTGCTTCCTTCTTTGGTACACATGTTTCTCATGTCCTTGACGTTAATCGCCTCCCCCAACAGAACCGACATGAACTTCGCAGCCTGCCCTCTCCATATAGGCCAGGACCTCATTGATTTGTCTAACGCGCGGGTCAAGGAGTTGATCGTCGCACGCGATACATCGTTGGTCTGCAGATTCAGAAACTCATGTATGGAGTGTTGAGTCAGCTCATCCTTGCTCAAAGCGAAGGAGGCAACCACATACAACACTAGCCGGCTCGGCGTTTGGCAATCTCGAATGCTGTTCCGGAGACGATTGCGTACGGAGTGCAAATAGTCCCCAGGAAGCCCTAGTCGAGTACTTTGGAGGCGTCGAAAGATGATGAAGAGGGCCTCATGACCGTCGTCCCAAGTGCAACTGAACTCGCGCGCAACGCTAGCGGTAAACGCCGTGAACTTCTGAGCATCCCCATAGGAAAGGCCACATTGCGCTTCCCATGGCAGACTCTCGAGTGTGCGAATAGGTAAATACTCTGGTCGCAGAAATTGTTGTAGATTGTCCATGCTTGGTTCCCTCTGCAGCAACTTGCATTGTCTGATGATTCCTGCAAGCTTGGCGATCTCCACATAGGTTACCTCAGACCCGATACCGACCATAGACAGGTATGTCTTCCGGTTTTGCTGAAATGTCCGAGTGAAATCGAAAATCTCTTGTTGATGGTAACTCTTCATAGCACGAGACTGCTCCAAGACACATCGAATTAATGCAACTTGGTGCTTCCATGTGTCGTCGTCAGAGCCAGTCTGCAAGTCTCGCATTTTCTGCCTCACTAGGCCGATTACATCGTCTTCGTCGTAACCACATAGATCCTCCAAGCTTTGCGCGTCGTTGGTACTTGTGAAACAGATCAGCACGAGTGCTTGGCTAAACTTTTTGCGACTAGGCCCTGTCAACTGTTTGATGTTAGTGTAATTTTGAGTGTGCGATGAAACGTTGGTACCTCTAAATCGACTAGAACGCGTTGAATGTGTTCACTTGCGGGAAGTTCTCGTACGGACAGGTTGAGCATTCTGATAGCTTTAGTTATGCAAGTTGATGCGAACGTGAGCTGTGTCTGGGGGCAGGCACTTGCTTATGTAGAAAGTAAAGCAAAACACGCCGTTTGATCTGAACCGAATGTCCGCACAACGTTGTGTGAATGGCTCCCTAGGCTAAAGAACATTGGTCGTGTTGTGTTGATGCCGGGAGGATCTTGCCGCTTCGTGTGCCTTCCTAATGTGGCTGTTTGGTGTTAGATTCGTAACATCCATGTCGCAAAAGAGAAAGTACCTTTTCGCTGTGCTGGCAAAGAAGTAATGCTTCCAACAGACGCGCAACGGGCAATCAGTGCACCCGGCTATAGAAAGCACATTTACCTCTATGATTTCCGCATCCAAGACACATTCTGTGCAGGGAGCGCCGGTGTACTTCTTCCTTATATGGTGACTCATGTGTACAAGAGATTGGAATGTGAAATAATTATGATTGAAACAAAATTTTCCAGTTTAGAATGCATAGTAGTATTTATACCGTTTCAGATGGAGTCGAAATATCTCGGCTCGCATCCCTCGTGAACAGCGGGTGACCATTGTGTGTAAACTTGGCGCTCTTCCTCACACCCTTGGTCTTGATGACAAAACGGCGTCGGTCACACAGACCCCGAAATACCACCGAAGCGTGCGGGAATGCTTGAAACCTTGGTGCTACTTCAGTTCTGAACTGCTTGCAAATTCTAACCGCAATTCGGCAAACAGGCGAAGGTATAATTATCCTCGGTGAATGCGCATAGGCGACCCTGGATGTTTTTGTAGTAAATGTAAAGGTCGACTTCCATGTTCATGACTTCGCAGCAACGACATTCTGCAGAGTTGAGTCTTTGACACACACAATCGATACAGTGATCTTAGATATAATTCAAGGGATGGGTAGTCCGCTAAATGGTCATCCATTTTCTAGTTGTGTTGGGGCGCGTAGAAGCAGAAGAAAAGTGGCCCAACAATTCTTTCAGATTTCAAAGAAGACAAAGTATTTGAGTCTGTCTAGTAGAATACTAGTGCTTCGCCAAGTGTGTTGCATTCATTTTGGCCCTCGGACTGCGGCTTTCTTATCTTTGACAAATCCATGTACGAAGTGGTCCTCATAGCACTCCGACATACACAAGCCTCAGCCGCGCACCTAGGGCGGCTTCCCTAATTGCTCAATTGGAAGTCAATACACAACGATACGGCTCACCTGAGTGATATCTACATCTACGGCACATTCTGTAAGGAGCATCTGCATATTCTTTTCGTTCGTAGCTGTATTTTCGATATAGTACAGTTATACAATGATACCGGCCTGATCCCGGTGACATAGGCTCTGCTGCGACTGGCCATCCATCCAGCTAACAGACCTCCGCCTGTTTGACGTAGCTTCGGCACGCTTCTTGTCTGACCTGCTCTTGATCAATCGCATCTCTGTATGTGCAGCTGACTGAACAATTTCAAACAGTGAGAATGCGCATTGCACGCCAAAATGGTATCTGAGTGGCCCTTTCGCAAATGAGTAAAAGCCCATACAAAGTCTCGTTGTGGTTATCAAGACGCGCAACAATAAACGAATGAAATCAGACCGTAGGGGGGGCGGGAGTGATGGATTACTCTGCCGTTTGACTATGTGATAAAGTAGAATAGCCGCAAACGATCCGTTAATCATGGCTGGAAAGGCCCATACCGCCCCAGAACGCCACTTCCAGATGCCAAAGGCAATCCACAGTGCTGAGGGAAATGTAATGCATAGACCGGCGAGCTGTCTCCCGGGAATTCGATCCGAAACAGCGTAAAGAATAGTCATCTGCATTTGTAAGCTTGGATAACGATGCGTAGGAATGATTCATACCTCAGAACCGGCGAAGCATATGGCAATGGTGGCTTGCCACATTATCCCAGGAACGGCATCTGGTAAGCCACGCTTGTGCGCAATGCCAATCCATAATGAACAGGCTATATTACCAAAGAGGAAGAGAAGAGCCAGCACGACTGCCGATACGTAGTGCTTGTCGTGGTACCAGCTCTGGGTAGCGCCCAGGCGAAGCTTGAAACGACGCCAGTTCTGAAGCGTGTTGGCAATGTAGAACAACGAGCCGAGTCCGCAAAAAACGGCATCAGTGATGAGTTCTTCTCTGCTCATGAAGCGCTGCATCATGAGTGGCGGTGAAGCCTCCTCGAAAAATCAATCACGAACCATGGTCTACCTTTATGACTAGAACACGTTCGCGGCTGTCCGATATGCTATATGATATCTCGCACCTTGAATCGGTCCGACGAACTGACCAAGACAGGTAGGCGCCTTGTTTCAATCTCTCCTTGGGACGAGACACCCCATATACGAGACACCCATGTACGGCGACCGAAGCCTGCTGCCAGTATGATAGTACCCTGTATATTGATACTTTAATTAGAGTGGAAACTCTTCGATGATTTCCTTCCTCCTTGCAGGTGATTGTCGCTTTTGAAAGCTCATCGAAGCGTGGATATGACTGGGCGTCGGCGGATCATTTCCTAATCGACCAAATATTTGGCCACCCAAATATTTGGTCGATTAGGAAATGATCCGCCGACGCCGTGCCCCGGTCTTTGCCTGTTCAGGTAAAGTGAAGCACTTGAGCCTTTCGGACTAGCTCGCCTTGTCTGTCTCATCACTCGTCTCCTCTTCTGCCTCCTTGAAGCAGTGGTCTGGCCAACCTTTCTCCTTGCACACTAACTTTCTGCACTATGGCCACAGATCTCGCCAACTCACCTGTTCTCAACGACTTTTCGAGCTTTTTCAAAGTTTGGCCGCTTTTTCGAGCTCGCACTAAAGAAGCCTTGCTTGACAAGCTTCGCCCACATCTGGTTGATTGTGTACATCTCATTCGACGCCTGGAACCACAGCTGTTCCATACTATAACCACAGAACAGCAAGCGAACGCAACGCCTTCTAGCCATCCATCGCCTCTATCATCTACAGTCTCCCGTACATCCACATATACTGAAGCACCACCGACCATCTCACAGCCTCCTTCACCGACTATAGAACTGAGGCCACGAACGTCTTCTGCAGCACAGTCGTTATCAGTTGCACAGAAACCGCGCCCGCCGACTACATCAAAATACTTGCCCGGGTTGCCGGAAGATATACGAAAAACAATATGTCGTACAACGGCCAAAGAATTCTTCAGGACAGCTCGCGATCCGAAAGACTGCACAGACTATTTTCTGGCTCTGGTCCAAGTCGAGAAAAATACATGGCTAAATGCCATCCAGCAACGCTTCCTCAGCCTTGGAATATTTCACTTGCGAGAGCGCATATTACATCAGGGAACCAGAGGTTATAATGGGAGCGAAGACCGATGGCATTGCACTGAAAAGGCAGCGAAGGACGCCATTGTTCATGCGGCAGCAGTCAACAATCCCGACATCACCGAAGAAAAAATAAGAAAGGTCATCAGCCGGAATATCAGTCGAGGCAAAAGATACATGGGCATTGCGCAAGAATTCTCGATCAGCGCCGTTGTTAGTCTTTGTCCAAACTACACTGACTTGTGAGAGGATTGGACCATTTGCACTGCAGCCATCAGCTAACCGTCTAGTTACGAGGCGCGACTACCGACTGAACAAAACAAAAATCGAAGGGTTTTTATATCCGAACTGAGGGCAGGAGGTGCCAAAACAACCGCTGAGTTTGATGAACTAGCCGGTTCGTCGAATCTGCTCGAGACGGCAGCCCGACGATATCTGCAATGGATCTATGCCGACTGTGAGGATTGGTTTAGCAGGCACAGCGAGATTTGGCTTCCGAACGAGAATGTCACGCTACAGAATAACACTCTCCGCGTGCCTCAGCCCCCAAACACGACTGAAACATCAGCTCCCTTCCTTAATATGCTTGCTGAGACTGCTTTATCTAGCACAAATCCGCCGCGCACCATGGCGAGAGAGAGTCTACAATTAAATGGGAGCGTTGCGACAAATTCAGCTATTTTAGAGGCGCCAAGAGACGAACTCGTACGCGATCATGCTGTGCAGCATGAGGATCTGATTCGGCAAGCAAATTATAGCATATCTTCAACTGCTGCCCAAAGTCAAGCCGATCAGAATCCTGATTCGTCCTTCGATCTTCAATCCCTATTTGGAGAAGCTGAGCCTGCCGTGCAAAGTGCTGCAGTCTCCTCTGAGTCAGAAATGCACCATTTTTCTGAGATGGTCGAGGAAGCTGAGCCAATCGTGAATAGCAGGCGCGTAAGGTCTACGCCCAACCATACAAGTTGCGGACAGAAAAGATTAGGTGATAGCGAAGTCTGTCTATCCTCAAAGAGGCAGAAGAATGACGAGAGAACTGGGGATCACGCTGGAACATTCAATGTACAAGCCAGTTGGTTTACCGGCCTCTTGGATGGTAGCATTCCTAACAGCGCATCTGAAGAGAGCCTTGGCGATATTGTCTTCAACGTACAACCTGGCTGGTTTGCGGGTTTCTCCGATGGCACTTTCCCTGACAGAGAGGCGGGAGACGGTTTTAGAGACACCGTTGGCAACAACATAAACGTGCAGCCTGGCTGGTTTGCGGGCTTCCCAGGCACTTCCAATGGTATGGACGCTGGAGACAGCTTTGACAACACCAGCGTCAACGTACATCCTGGCTGGTTTGCGGGCTTTCCAGGCAGTCTTTTCGATAGCGTCCAATCCGCTGCGATTTCTTCAGAAATGGAGACTGGAGACGGCGTTGACCCTACTAGCATCGCCTCTATTGGGCACTTGTCAAGCAACACTGGTCTCGACGTGCGTCCCGATTTCAATCCCATTATTGATGTCGGTGGATCTCCCATCCAGGCAGATGCGAGCAGTGCAGCAGCCTCGGTCTTGTGTTTCTCGTCGGTCGCAAGTTCATCCGGCCCTCAAGATATACTTCACCATACGCAAAATAACGGTTCGCGCCAGATGTGCTCGTTTGGATAAGTCTGGTCAATTTCCCAGGTCTAAGTCGATTTGACTATCCATAGCAAGTATAATGTACATTCATTGTCCACTTGTATGGTGATCTGCCCTAAGATATGTCCCATTTCTTGCAGTGGGAGTGCAACACTTCTGCCATCATGGTGTATGCTATACCCTTGTCCCTCGATCAGTATTAAGTCGCCCGCATCGAAGTTGTATTTGTAGTCTTTAGCATCCCCAGAAATTCGCATCATGATGACTTTCCTATTCGGACTCTACTTCTTCTCAGTACTCAGGGCATCGTCATATAGATATTCTCGACATACCAACTGGAATATAGGCTTGATGATAGGGACAAGGCGCTCGTTTATGGCTGGCGGATGATACTCATACATTTGGCCATTGATAGAAACCCACTGATCTGGATTTTGCTTGACATGGTCCAACAGCTGTGTCAACTGCAGCCGGACCTGCAGGTCGAGCGGAGTTGTCTGGAGCGTCGAGGTCATGAGATTTATCCCGCAGAAGCCAGGGAGCCTTGTTCGCCGTCAAGGGACTTTGCGTTCTTTATAAAAAATCTTTTTGCTTTTTGGATGAGGGTAAGTATTGTCAGGCACGTCGCCGCGGGGCAGAACGAGTGAGGGGCATATTGACATTGGGCCTCGAGAGTGCTGGGTTGGCACGTGATCTTTCACGTGACTATTGCGTCATTGGCAGAAACGGCCCAGGTTCATAGATATCATAACCGTGTGACGCAATTTTGAAAATTGAATAGCGGGTTCTATCATTTAATGAACCTTTGTACTAGCTAGCTACGCAGCGCAATTCATCGTGTTGATGGAGAGCGAGCTTGGAACCAACGCTTACTTAGCCAGAGGCAGTAGCATGGGTAGCTAACAACGTTAACTATGTTCTTTTTGCATCACGAATAACTCCCCCTGGCTGGCCTTACAGGAGACTCGTCAATGCATGCAACACAGCAAGTCCTAGACAGTTGGCTGATAAGCTTGCGGAACGAGACCGACTTGCACTGGTCTATAGGGTGCTGCCGGGCTCCTACCGCTGCGATGCCAAACTGCCACAAATCATAGAGCAAGTGACCAGGCTTCGGATTAAGCAGCAAGAATTCGATCAAAGGCATAAAAGTGGTGGCAAATGACAAGATAATTGACCGGCTATTTGCGTTTACATTTTCGTGGCTACAGCCATGGGCACAATGGCTTTCCCCCAAATCTCCACACATTTCGCTAATCTGAGCCTCCGCACACCACCTGGCAGCCGCGCATCATTATTGCGACCGAGAAAAACAAGGTGGTGAGCCAAGGAACAACGAAGAAATCAACTTCGTGCGCTGATCGCCTAAATAAGGGCTCCGGCAGAACACCACCGCTGGCACTTAGTGCAGCAGGGGTCCATCATTGTGCTGCTACGCATCAATCGACATTATAGAAACAAGTGTACGGAGAATCACCTATGACGATAGATTAGAACGAGTACAACTATCAACCAGTCATGAGCAAACAAGAAACTGGCAGACGAGGGTGGTGTGTAACTCCCTTTCCCTTCGATTCGAGGTAAAAGATCAGAGGTTGTTTACATGCTCTTGGCCCAGTGCTTCTTATTAGCACTGGTACTGATCAGGATGGGTCTCCCAGTGGATGCTGGAATGCCAGGTCGACTACTTAGGTTTGGATCGGCGGCTCCAGAAAAAGAAGCGTAATATGAAGCAAAGTAAAGATAGCACGGAGGTTACAACACTTTCAAAAGATCAGCGGTCTGCTGCGGGCGGAGGCACGAATGGCCCAACAACGGTTGCAAAGGCAGCATTGGCAGAGAACAAGGTACAAGTAGACACGGCCGGCGCAACTGTGTCCGCTGTGGGGGTTGTTGCCCATTGTGGGCCACCTGTCTACAGTGCTGCGCTGTCAAAGGTTTTTTAGTAATTTCGTCGCCAAACACATAGCAAACAGAACGATTTCTTTTCAGAGCACTGACAGTATCTCCCATCTAGAGTGCCTGACGCATCGTTAGGCATCAAGATATCCATTTTCCACTCGCTGCAGAGAAGCTTTTGGCACCACAGTTGTGGGAGGCATGTGCCGCAACAAGCCGTCACAGCAAAGCAGATGGGCTCAGTGACATCCTGAAACAAGCGGTATGGCAGATACGTGTCAATAAAACAGGCTGCACAACTAAGACAACAACAGAGCGTTAAGGCGTATTGGCTAGTAGTCGCATTCGCCTATTAACTAGCGGTTGGCCTCGCTTTTTAAAAGGGGAAATGGATGTCACCGTTACAGTAGGGGAGAAAGTTGGCCTCAGGCTACAACAGCAGTGGACACGCCTTGGGCAACTACCTACCGTTTGTAGTGGGGAACTCCAAATCGCTTCTACAATTAGCCTGCAACCTTGCCTAATCAACATTATCCATCAATCGCTTCAGATGTCTGAAAGAATTCGGGAGCTCGAAAAGCAGCTGCAGCACGAGCGACGCGAAAAGGAAGAAGCAAAGGCACGGGAGGAGAACGAGCGACGCGAAAAGGAGAAAGAGAAACTCAAAAACCAAAAGACGACTTTAACAGAGTACTTGCATAATTGTCACTTCGACATTTACCAAAAACTCAGGCTCGCTGGCGCTTCGGAGAGCTCTACTGGCCTCGCAACCTCGGTCGACGGCAAATACTATCCCAAGTGGCTTCGCCCTTGGACAGACTTTAGTGCCTATCATCGACAGGAACACTTCAACGATATTATCCGCGTCTGCGGTGAGGGTCGAGTTTTCCATCAGAAGAGCACAACAGTTGACATCGGGATGAGCTTCGATCGTAAAGAAGCCGGTTACGAAAATGCGATCGACCACTTCGAGAAAACAGCAGTCGAGGACCCTACCTGGAG